GAGAGAGTGTTTTACGGGAGACTGCAATCATTGGGACATGGTGTCTATCACTATGAGAACCCATCCTTGCAGCAAGAAGCTCTCAATGTTATGCCAGTGTCTGAATTAAAACAGAAAGCAAAGGAAGCTTGTGAAAAAAGCAAGGAAAATGGACAGGATGGAGTGGATGAAAAGGACTGCTTGTTTTTAGAGGTTGCTCGCTGGTTTGGTATGAATGCTTGCATTTTCTCAATTTATTTTGTAATAATTGTAGAAATTATTCAATCCTCATCTGATGTTGGTACATTTCTAACCAAAATCATAGAGGTCTGAGCAGTTGTTAATAATTGTTGATTAGAAAACAGTCCTAAGAAAATACGTGTACTGATCGGTTAAAAATCGTGTTTGTATAACTTGATAGAAACACAGAACTAGCACGGGCTGTTGACGTAATGATGGTGTGAGCAAAGAGAATTTACACTTTGATAATCAAAGTTAACTAGTTGTTTTGCTTCTTTTCATTGCAGTGTATTCTAAAAGAAACAGAAAATAAGTTCTCTGTGTTTCTATCGAGTTATAGAAACACTCATGAAAGTTTGGGAGAACTTGAAAAAGCTGAGGAAACACTCGCCTGCAGCTCATGTTCCCACAGCGTTTCTCGTTCTCCCAAACTTCCACTTGTATCTCTATAACTCGATAAAAACACGGTGCATGTTTTCTATTTCTTAATTGCCCTCAATTCAATGTTCTAAAGATGCTTTGGACTGATGGATGGAAGGACAGACAGACAGACAGACAGACAAACGAACAGACAGATGGATAGACAGACGGACTAAAGGATTGGATGGATGGACAGATGGATGGATTAATACATAACTTCTATTTATATTTTATAACCTTTTTTATATCACAAGTCAAATTGTTCTCACATTTGATTGGTTCTCACCTATGATCTATTAGAGGACAGACTCATAGATGAGGTCAACAATACAAACATTTGTTAAATTTACCCCCTAAATAAATAGGATATAGTTAAAAATTAATATTTTCTGAAACTACAAAACATTGAGTGATTAAAGCTTATCAATCTCTGTTTTCAGGTACGTTCTTCCACTGGCTGGACAAACCAATTTGTGCAAATTGCGGCACCAAGACAGTAGCCACCGGACCTGTGCAGCCAACCGCTGAGGATCTTAGATGGGAAGCTGGAAGAGTGGAAGGTTTTAAATGTCCAAAATGTGGGAAAGATGAGAGATTCCCAAGGTACAACCATCCGAGGAAGTTGCTGGGTAAGCTTTCATATTCAACACTATTTCATGTTTCATACTTGATAGTAAGAGTGAATTATGCAGGTAGAATTTAAAGAATATTGATAATTCAAGTTCAATATGATTAATCCCACTGGTAACAGGCATTGGTTTCCTCATATGTCTTTGCATTTTCAACCCATTCAGAGTTAGTAAAGCATACTAGTGATGTGTATAAAAAGGTTGATAATGAGAAGAAGCGACGTTACAAAGCCTATTTAGTGAAAATTGGGACTTCATATCACCTTAGCTACAATGTTTTAGCAAAATATATCGAATGAAATAATTATATTGAATTTTTGAACTGAACTTCTTTATAAGAAAAGCTTTCCTCTAGATGGTCAAACCAGGTGGGCAAAATCATCCTCAGAGCCAGTTAATTTGCCTGGTACCCATGCCAGCCCTAAATGAAACCCCCACATGACAGTCACCATTATTCTTCTAAGAGCACTTTCGATAGAATTCACGATGTCTTCTCTTCATACAGAGACTCGCCGTGGCAGATGTGGTGAATTTGCTAACTGCAAGGCCTTGGTGCTCCGTTCCATGGGTTTTGAAATACGTCATGTCACAGACTGGACTGATCATGTGTGGGTAGAGGTTTATTCTGATGCACAGCAAAGATGGATTCACTGTGACCGTGATGAGAATTATCTGTATGAACGAGCCATGAGCAAGAAATTGACTTACATTATGGCATTCAACTATGAAGAGGTATTTTGTACTGTAATTTTAATTCTGGGTCCCTTTGGGGTACTCCATGTAATGAACTATACAAAGAGGGGATCATGCATTCTAGAGGCATCCTTGGTCGAGTGTTAATCGACACCCCCGACTGACCCTCAATTAACATCTTGATCGACACTCAATCGACATTGTGATTGATACTCAGTCAACACTAATTTTTGCAGACACACCATCAAATGTTGATTGATACATATGAGTCAATTAACACTCAGCCAACTATTGACCCACTGTCAATCGGGCGTTAATCGAGGATCAATCAAGGGTATCGATCGACATTCGACCGTGGATGCCTTTAGTACACATGATCCCAAAGAGGGAGTTCCCTTTTGGGATTGGAGTGGCTGCATTGGGTATATAATAGAGTGAGGATTAATGAACTGAAGTATAGAAAAGGTTAAATCATGGGGTGGAATTCATTACACTTTGTGGAGTATAGCAGGGTTAATGATTTCCTTTATTCTAAGAAACTGCCTGCTTGGAAAGCGTATGAAAAATTAAATATTGTAAAACAAAGTAAGGTGCTGAGGTTAAATTCATTTAAAATTCAATCTTGTTTAAAGGCGGTGGATGTAACATGGAGATATTCTCCAAAACATGATGAAATTTGTCGACGAAGGTTAATGGTTAGTGAGGAATGGCTGGTTAGAGCACTGAGTATGTTAAACCACCAGGTTAGTATTCAAACAACCTAGTACTGCAATTGTATTTAAAAATTATTCCGCTAGCACATGTCCAATGGATATGAGATGATAGAGAGGCAATGAGGAGTGTAGCACTGAGTTGTCTATAATCATATATCTCATATCCGACCAGCGTGAGTGGAATAACTGTTTTATTATAGTTTTATAGAAAACTAAACAAAATATAGAAATAAAAATGCCAAAAAAAATCAAGCATACACTTACCATATTTGTAGAGCACGGTATAATGGCTCATAACCCATGATAGCTAAGCCAATGAACTGTCTTGAATTACATTATCCAATGATTCAATTTTTAGTAATGTCTTTTATCCTAGATAGGCTTTTAACTTTTCTGTGTATGTTATAAAGTAACATTCACATTTTTATTCCTTTATGTATACTACAGCGACAACAATGGCTTTCTCCTGAGCGGCGTCAAACACTTTTGAAACGTTCAGCTAAGGAACTAGCTGGGTTCCTCTCAGTTCATGAAGGAAAACTGTATGGGACTGCTGCATGGAGGCGTATGATTGGAAGACCTGTATCACAGGTAAATTCTTTGAACTAGTCATTTTATGATGCCCTTTACTGCACTTATAACATTGTAGCCTTTGATGAGTGAAAGTGTTTTAGTTCATAGCACAAGTTCTGCACCACGTAGGGCCCACTTTTACGACTAAAAAACAGATTTTAATGTGCTAACAGTTAAATCCACTAAAGCCATTTGCAGAAGTTTGCACAGATCACTTGTCTCTAGTGAAACAAGTGTGGGGATGCAAGTGGTAATACTCATGAGACAGTACAGCCGATGCAAGAAAACAATTCATTGTTCTCTACCACTTCTTGGTAACTTTTGGCTATTCTAAGAGAAATAGAGGGAGGGGGGGAGGCAGGAACTTGGAACTTAAAAGGGGTGTTAACTGTATGGGCAGTAGTAGACAAGAAGGGAGGGAGTAGAATTTCCAAAGTGACAGGAATTGTAGTTAAAAGGAGAAACATTTTGCAGCGTTGTGTGATGTTCTGCAATCAAAAAAACACCAAGAGGTGAGAACCACTTACGAAGGGTTAGGAAGCAGAAGTTTCTTACAGACTGAAACAGGTACACACGAAGGGGAAGGAACAGGAAGTTCAGACTCCCTGTTCTCTCTTCCCTGCTTAACCTTCCCTTAGCTGTCCCATCTGCCATCTCTGTCTTATCCCCCTTCTTTAGGTTCTATTCCAATATCAATTTGGTTAATTACTACTTCTAAATAAATACGTCAACTCTTGCTTTCAACTGTAGTTTTCCTGTTCTCTTTCAGCATGAGCCTTACACCTTTAAACCAACTGATGAAGAAATTAAAAACAAAAGGTGATGTTCAAAATTATAAACCTGAAACATCCCGAGGTTTTTGGATTCAAAGAGTTGGAGAGGACATAAGGGCATAATTTTCTAAATGCTGAGTCACTATAATTCCTGTCAATTAAATCCTTAGACAACAATATTACCGTGACAACTTGAATTACTTTGATTAATTAAGAAGGCATGCTTTACAAAACAATTTTTTTTTTGCAAATTATTTAAAACAACTTATTGGTCAGAGAGAGGTGGATTGTTAGGGATGCTTCCAACGTGTGCAATTTATGTCAATGCATTCTGACAACATTGTGATACTGACCATGGCAATTGCTAAATCACTAACATTCTCAAATCTCACAGTAGTACAATCATGTTTTTCTGTTAAAGTAATGTTCAGTTAGCCTGCGAACGCAGACGTATTTCCAGCTGTCGCTTGTCTCTGCCAAAACAAGCGATGGCTGGACATGCATCCGCATTTGCGGGGTAACCTTCAATAAGCCATTCATTAACAAGTTCCTCTTGCCCTGATCTTGGTTTGCATGAGAATGCAGAGGGTCCCCAATAGATTTGGCGGGATGCGGGATTTGGCTTTTTTTCACCGTGATATTTGGGATTTGTGCTGAAAACAGGGGCGGGAAGCGTGAATTACAATTACGAGCGGGAGCGGGATTTCGTGTTTTTATAGGGTTGGGATGCGGGATTCGTAAGGGGAACAGAGCAGGATATGGGATTTCAATTCTTACATGACCTCATAAATTGTTATTGACCAGCACAAAAACCACAAGCTGGGAGAAACGTGCGAATAGCTGTGTCAGGTTTCAAGTAATGAATAGCAACAGCTCTGCACCCTGTCAGGTTCTGTCAAAGGTATCCATTATCGCTTGACTAAGTTAGTACCATGAGACTGTATGAGGTCTTTGAGTCCTATTTCTACTGATTGCGATCATTTGTGTTGACCTCTGACATCAATGACATCTGTCCATTTCCGACATTTTCGATGCTTG